CCCTCTCAGCATCTTAGCACGCTATGTTGCTCCCGGCCGTCACCGGAAGGAGCACATGGATGCAGCTAAGAGGGTGTTGCGCTACTTGTGCAGTACGTCGGGCATGGGGCTAGTGCTTGGAGGGCGAGAGCGGCCTGTGCTCACTGGGCACTCAGACGCTTCTTGGGCTGACGACCAGGCTACTCAGAGGTCGTCTCAGGGTTACACCTTCAGTCTTGGCTCTGGCTCTGTCTCTTGGCGCTCTACTCGCTCTTCTTCGGTTCTCAGCTCCAGCTGTGAGGCTGAGATCTACGCCACGGCCATGGCTGCCCAGGAGCTTCGCTGGCTCACCTACCTGCTGACTGACCTTGGAGAGCGGCCTCGTTCTCCTCCAGTGCTGTACGTCGACAACAAGGCAACTATTGCCTTGTGTCAGGAGCACAGACTGGAGCACAGGACGAAGCACATTGCTCTGCGCTACTTCCTTGCTCGAGAGCTGCAGCAGCGTGGTCAGCTTCGCCTGCGTTTCGTGGCCACTGAGGCCAACACTGCTGCTGATGTGTTCACCAAGGCACTTCCGCCTCGTGACCATCAGCGCTTTTGCACTCTGCTAGGTCTTGTGCCCACTGGGCCTCACTTGCTTACCTCTTGACTTTGCTTGTACTGCTGCATATATATATCCTTGCTCTTGCTTGTTTAGCACTGTTATATATATATGCTCTGCTGCATGTGAACTGGCCTTGTGGCCTTGACCTTGTGCTCGGACTGTGTGGTGACTTTGTGATCCACCCTGAGCTTTGCTTTGCTTTGCTTGACTGGTCTTGTGACCCCTTGTTCTCCCCCACTTTGCGTATGGGGGTGTGTCAGATTCATATGACATAGTTGCTGTAGGCTATACTGGGGTAGCACATATGGGGTACAGGTTTCTAGGGTTGTATTTGTACCCAATCTTTTCTTAGTCATTTCATTCCTGTTCTACAACTCTCACAACTAAGGGTAGCCATGACAGCAGTAGACTAGCAGCTCGAGCAGCAGGCTAAGGGCAGTGCAGTGGTAGAGGCGCTGCTCTTACCGGGCAGGTGAGAAGGACCGAGGCTCGCCGGCAGGAACAGGGCCGCGACGGCAGTAACGGCGGCTCGACGGCTCGTCAGCTCGGCAGCAACGGCGGCTCGGCGGTTCGACAGCTCGGCGGTAACGGCGGCTCGGCAGCAACGGCGGCTCGGCGGCACAGCGGCAACGGCGGCTCGGCGGCGCCGGCGGCTCGGCTGCTCGGTGGTGACGGCGGGGTCGTGAAGGGCGGCAGGGCCGCTGAAGGGACGGCGGCGGGGCCGGGTGGGGCGACGACGAGGCCGCTGAGGGCGGCGGCGGGGCCACGAAGGGTGGCGATCGGCGCCGGGGTCGCAGGCGGCGGCGACGAAGGGGCGGCGCCGGGGCCGCGAGGGTGGGGCCGCGGGGTCGCGAGGGTAGGGCGACGGGGCCAGCAGGGGCGGCGCCGGGGCCGGTAAGAGCGGCGCCGAGGCTGCGAGGGTGGGGCGACTGGGCCGAGAGGGCTGAGCGAAGGGGCCGCAAGGGCGGCTCGAAGAGGCCGCGAGGGCAGCGTGAAGGGGCCGCGAGGGCGGCGCGAAGGGGCCGCGAGGGCGGTGCGACGGGGCCGCGAGGGCAGCGCGACGGGGCCACGAGGGCGGCGCGACGGGGCCGCGAGGGCGGCGCGACGCGACGGGGCCGCGAAGGCGGCGCAACGGGGCTGCAAGGGCGGCGCGACGGGGCCGCTAGGGGCCGTGAGAGGGGAGCGCGACTCGGGCAGGGGCTGAGTGAGCTCCGGGCAGGAAAAAAAAAAAACGGTGGGCCCTAGGAACAGTTCCCACGAGGGAACCTGCTCGATACCATGAGAAAACTAGAACGAGAATGATTGCATTGAGCAGCATGAGGAGTACAAGTACCAAACCCTAAAGTGTTGTACCCCATATAAGCTACCCCACTACAGCCTACACAGACTATAGTATATGAGTTTGACAGAACTGTTCAACCAAAAGCGACAGTGCACACCGAACACCAGATATGCTAACTATGAGCTAGATAGCAACGCCATCCCTACTGGACGGAGGTCTGCATGACCCCATGAGGCTAGGGGTGCCGGTACAGCTCGTAACAACAAGGCTGTCAATGGAACCCAGCAACAGCAACCATTCGATGAATATTTTGAAGCTGATGGTGACGCTGCAAAGATGAGGGTGCATCTAACCATGATGGTTCGAGCGGCAACCCTGAAGGTCAGGCAGGGCCATCAAACCCCGCCCCTGTGACCCCAAATGCTGGCGGTAAGATTCCTTTTATGCTTGTCGCTTGTGTTTTTTTCCCCCGTTTATTACTCATGTTTCCTTGTCTATATTTCACTGAAAACTATGTGTGTCTCTTTGCCTACTCTATCTATGCAGCTTCTGCTCGCAACTCGGACCGCGAGAGGCATCATCTTGAGGCCAACTCCTACAATCACTTGGACAATGAAATCCGCTGCGAGCTTAAGGGCATCCGCGACATCGTGCATGGTCTTGAGAAGCGACTTGCCGTGTCCGACCAAATCCTATAGTCGTTGGCTTCATCGGTGAAGCACCTGTTGGAGATTGTTCACCAGCCGAGCTGGTGTAACGAGAAGACTATGCTGGTAAATATTTTCCAGCTTATGTATCTTTATGCTTTCGTTATTGGGCATGCTTTTTAACCGACCCGTTCGTGTTTCTGTTGTGTTTTGCAGGCCGCGTGTCGTAAAGGTTGCGACGACCTTATCAGGGGCCCGGATGTGGACAAACTGTACCCTACGGAAGAGCACTTCAAAGAAGCAGTCGTCCCGTACATCACCCTCAAACAATGTGACGTCAGAAAGTTCAATGATTTCTAGAAGAAATGATATTACACGAAGAAGTGCATCGAGCTGTGCAGCAGTCGACGCGGTAAGGTTGGGAACTAGGGGCGGAAGGCCGCCTTCCGTCTCTTGAAGAAACCCGATCGCGCCGTTGTTCGCAATGATCCGAAATCCCACCGGAATTATGTGCTTGCCCACGCATCGGGTTTTTATGATATCATATTTTCCTAATGTTGTCATGTTAGTTGGCTAACACTTGTTTTTATTTTTTTCCAGAGGAGTTTGGGCGACGGGGCCGTGAGAGGGGAGCGCGACTCGGGCAGGGTAGAGCGCGCTCCGGGCAGGAAAAAAAAAGGGTGGTGGGCCCTAGGAACAGTTCCTACAGGGGAACCTGCTCGATACCATGAGAAAATGAACGAGAATGAAATGACTAAGGGAAAGTTGGGTACAAGTACAAACCCTAGAAAGTTGTACCCCATATGTGCTACCCCACTATAGCCTATAGCAGCTATGTCATATAAATCTGGCACCAATAGCGTATTCCTATCATCGTATCAAGAGAACCTCATATCAAGATTGTACTTTTTGCGTGGTAAAACTAGCGAGAGGTTTTGGGTTTAGGGGAATTTTAAATGGGAGGTTGATATGAGGTTCTCTTGATACGAGGATAAGAATACGCTCTAACTATTTCTTTCTCCTACAATGCCTGCAGGTTGAGAATGAGATGCCCACCACCAACCACAGCATGACCAACAATTGCGAGTCCAACAAAAGAGAGTTGGAGAAGCGGAAGACCCAGGTGGAAAACTGGATTCGCCAGGGGGTTGTCCAGAAGGTGCGGTTGTGGTATTATTTTGGAGAGGTGACGGTGAAGGATTGGATAGTTAGTGAGTTGTAGTAGTAATCTAGAATAGGTGCAGTAGCTGACTGAAAATGCTGGGTAGTGTAATTGAAATTTCTGTTTTCATGACCAATGCACCAAGAGGGATTTGTAAATACATTTAGTATTTGTAGCAGCTAAGTCAAGTTTTTTAGTATTTACAGTATTTTGTAAAACAGTTCACTGTTACGGTATGTTTGTTTTATGAACATTTGGTGTAATTATATTTGCTACTTGACCTTCCTTTTAGTCACAAACAGTATTGCGCTATAGCCCGGTTTCAATTACAATTTATTGCTAAATATGTTTTTTTCATCTACTGTAACATCCGTGTTTCGGATGGACGAAAAAGCAATCTCGTCACCCGATGTAACAGGGCGTTATAGTTCGTCCCAGCTCACATCCAATTTGGGACCTATACCACACAGACATCTGGCATTCTGGTTTCGGCACTTTTCAAAAAGCCAATCGGATGATTGCGTTTGCAAGCAATTTGGGGAGAGGATATCCCAGCTCCATAGTTTCAAAAATATCTCAAATTTAGTCCCAAGTTTACTAATAAAGTACAGCTTTCTAGAAGTTTGCTCACGCGAGGCCCAGACTATGTTCAAAACTAGTCCTGCGGGGCAAAAGTTTCGGCACGTGTCCTATTTCGTATTTGCAATTTCTGACGGGGGCAAAAAACATAAAACCCCTAGGGGAACCAGGACACACGTTCGGGGGGGATCAACCCTAAACACGGGGACCCGCTTGGTGTTTAGGGTTGATCCTTCCCGCAATTGTGCCCTAGTTCCCAAGGAGTTTTATGATTTTTTTCTCGGTCGAATTTTTTTTAAGAGAAATTGGACACGTGTCGAGAACTTCACCCCGCATGACCAGTTTTGAACATACTTTGGGCCTCGCGTGAGTGAAATTCTAGAAAGTGGTACTTTTTGAGTGAACCTGTAGCTAACTTTGAGAGAAATCTGAAATTATGGACCTGGAATATAGTTTCCCCGCAATTTGACTTCAGTATTGCCTGCAATTGATCCGAACCCAACCTCCACGAACATGACGAGAAGCCAGCACGCTAATTGCTAGCAAGCAGGGTTCTTCGTGCGATGTGGTTAGTCGACAATGGCGGGGCGGTCGCGATCCTCCGCCTTCCCCTCCTCCGCCTCCACCTCTTCCGCCTCCCCCGCCTTTCCCCCCTCAGCCTCCGCCTCCGATCTCCCCCGTCCCGAATCCGCCCGCGCCACTGGGCGCGACGACCCGCGCTTCTCCGCGGTTCCGCCGTGCCCCATGCTTTACGCCGTGCTTCCCCCCGCCTCCGAACCGCTTTCCTCCGCCCATGCGCGCGACTCCTCTCCCGCAAGTAGCGCGAGCAACTCGCGCGGCGCCGCTGCGGTTGACGGGGCGGCGCATGGGCGGAAGGGAGCGCACGCGCGGGCGAAATCGTGGGACGTAGGGGCGGGCGCGGAAGGCGGGGGGGAGGGGGGAAGAGCAGCGGACGTGGGGGGAGGAGCTGCGGCTCCGCGGTTAGTGCCCGCCATGATGACGTCACTGTCGCTCACTGTGGAGTGTCTGATGACGACAGCAAGTGTCAGCATACAGGGCACGTGGGAAGTGGGGGAGTATGCGCGGGGGCGCGGGCAAGGGGGAGGAGGGGGAGGCGGAGGGGAAGGCAGAGGGGAAGGGGGAGGAGGTGGCGGAGGGGATGGTGGGGGTGAAGGGGAGGAGCAGCAGCTGTGCTGCGACTGCCTTTTTGTGCTGCCCACGTCTCACAGGGTAGGAACGTGGCGAGAGTGTGTGTTGCTGAGCATGAGTGAGAGGGTAGGGGCGTGACGTGAGCGTGAGTAGGGCATGAGTGAGTGAGAGTTTTGTTTCCTAGCACTCATTGCCCCACGCTGGCACTCACTGACACCTCAGTGCAAATACCACCCGCCTCTTTTTTTGCTCCTGCTCTCCCTCCTGCCCTCCCTCCCTCGTGCCTCTCTTCCCCCTCCTGCCCTGCCTACTCGAAATCCTATTACCCATGGCCCTTCCACCTCTGCCCTTACCCATCCCTTCCCCCATGTCTATCCTTTGCTCCTCTTGGCCCCGTCCGACCCTCATCCCACCATTCATCCCTCCTCAGAGTCATGTGACATCAGTGGAGGTGACTTTAGCAGATGGAAGGTTCCTCGCAACTGCAGTGCTCCCAGCGGACGAGGCAGAGGCAGTGTGCCAGGCGAGCCAAGAGCGGGCGGCAGCCGCCCACTCTGCCGCCCAGCCCATGCTGCCCAGGCCCGCCCGGCCCTCGTTCCTGCGCCTTTCGTCTGCTAGCTTCAGCAGGAGCGGCAGCAGCAGGCATCGGTGGAAAAGCCAAGAGGGAGTGGGGGAAGCAGACGGAAGGGCTGAAGCGAGAACGGAGGGCGAGTGGGGAGAGAGCAGTGGGAAGGAGGGTGGTGTGAGTGGGGGTGTGGAGAGAGGGGAGGGTGGGGGTGAACGTAGTGAAGGTGGTGGTGAGAGTGAGAGGAGAAGGGGAGGGAATGATGACGATGAGGAGGAGGGGGAGGAGGTGGAGGGGAGTGGGGTGCAGCGGTGTGTGGCGAGGCGGCATGCAGCCGTGCTGCTGGACGGGAGCCCCGTGCACACACCGCACATGCTACGACTCAGAATACCCAAGGTGTGTTGGTGTTGCTTCTGAGAATTCTCAAATGCAGCCGTGCTGCTGGATGGGAACCCCGTGCAGTGCACACACCGCATGTGCTACGACTTAGATTACCCAAGGTGCACTTTAGGGTTCATGCATGCATCTTTCTTAGCCCCATTATCTCGTGCCTTTCAGGTCACACCTGCCGCCCTTTCTCTACCTCTCTTACCCTCTCCCGTTCCCACTTTCCCTTGCCTCCCATGCTGTTCTCCCCTGCGCCCTTCCTCCACCTGCCTGCTGTTACCTGCCTGCGCTTCCTTCCCACTCCCCCTTTCACATGCCTCCTGTGATGTTCTTCCCTGCTCCTCGTCTGTCTCCCCCTCCTACCCCCACCCTCGCAGGTGCCACAAGGCAGCAGTGTGCGTGTGCGGGCGACATACATGGAGGCGATGGCAGGGTGGCAGGGGTACAGCGAGATGAGCGTGTCGCTGACGGTGCCCTTGGAGTGCCCCTCCTCTCTCTGTCCGCCTCCCTCCCCAACCCTTGGCAGGTACCCCAGGGCAGCAGTGTGCGCGTGCGGGTGACCTACGTGGAGGCGATGGCAGGGCGGCAGGGGTACAGCGAGATGAGCGTGCCGCTGACGGTTCCCTTGGAGTGCGTGCCAGGCGACCTGGTGGTGCAGGACGTGGTGCGAGTGAGCTGCACCATCAACAGTGGCTTGCAGTGCCCCATGAAGATCGGCGACTTCAACCACCCCATGAAGGTGAGGCGTGTGAACATGGTACGCAGAGTTATATGATTGCTTTTGAGTCGACTCAAAATGTGAGGCGTGTGAACATGGTACGCGGAGTTATATGATTGATGCTAATGTTGGACTGCCATGCGTTCTGGAAGGACTGGATGTTTTAGAGCCACTTTTGTATCCGCTTCATAATGTGCTAGTGGTAGTATATACTATGCTCTTGTTGGGCACTTGTTGACACGGTCAGCAGGAGAGAAGAGGAGGTAGTGGCTGTTAAACATGAGCAGCAAAACCGCGCTTTGGCTGACTCGGTCGAGTCGAGATTATTTCTTCACGAGCCGAGTCGAGTTAGCTTGACGTGCAGGGCGATATGCATCGCCCGACTCGACCAGTGATGGGTGCGCGTCGGGCCTGATTTGACTGACTTGAATCACAATTTTCAACACAAGTCAACTGGATTGTATCAAAATCGTTGGGTCGCCATGTCGAACCCCCCTCCGAATGGGGTTAATAGATGTTTTCCTCGTCATGGGTTAGCGGGTTAGATTTCTCCACCCATCTCTACTTGGACATGCTTCGGACATGCACTGGCCGGCCCTTTTATGATTAGTTGGCAAAATGAAACAATGGCCCTTCAGCCAGCAGAAGGGTTATAGTCGCAGTTGGCTTCAATGTGTCTTCAACTAAAGTTAGAGTGCACAGATGGATTTTTGCGGAGCGGTTTCAAAACCTGTTAGCGTTATGGACGTGACACTAAATGTTGTGTTATGATTAAACATGGAGCGTTATGATGAGCAGTTGAATTACTCGATCTTATATAGGAGTGACAACGCTGTGATACTTCGAACGGACGGCAATATGGTAGCAACTATTGTCTTCAGATATGCTTTCCCAAGAGCCGTGGTCCAGGAAAGTGGAAGAGTGGCACAAAATTCTTAATCTCGAAAGTTCACGAAACCTTCTTTCATAAGGACATACATGCTACATAACACAATGCAGTATTACCATCCACTAACTTGATGTTTAGGACAAGCTGAGTGTAACAATGAGGCTGCACCAACTTGAAGCAGGAGTGAAGTTGCTTTGAGGCAATTGCCTTGGATTTTCCTCCCTTTGTTCCTGTCTCAGTTGTGATCTACTTAAAAAGTCTTGACCCCGTTTACCAAACCAAGTGATCCTACTTTCTACATTACACAACCCCTATCATCCTCCTTTTCCCCCACCTCTTGCGTCCTACACACGCAGGCTTCAGGTGGTGTTTTGTGGACTTGGGGCGAGCCACGGTATGTCTTTTGAGTTGACTCAAAGTCACCTTTCCCCATGCCCCTCGCCCCACACGTGCATGCTGCAGGTCGTGTTTGTGGACTTGGGGCGAGCCACGTTTGTGGGCCATCAAAACGAGGACGACCCCGACGCCTGGCCCAATGCCGACTTCACCATCTCCTACCAGGTGGGCAGTAGTGTGGGCTCCTGTCGGTGTATTAATGGGGCGCCTCAAAAGAGACGACCAAGCGATGATGATCCCGAGACCTGGCCCAAAGCCGACTTCACCATCTCCTTCCAGGTCGGCTCAACAATGTCTTCACAGCAATGCCGGCTCCTGTTGGTCGGCCGTACCCCGCATTTCCTTGCCTTGTGCCATTGCCTTGCATTGTGCCATTGCCTTTCGCATGGCGCGGGGACGAGGGTCAGCAGCTTGTTTGTTCGGATGTGTTGAATGCTTTTCGAGTTTGCTGCTTTTACACAAGGGACGCGATGCGATGTAGTGTGATGGCGTTTTAGAAGCAGGATATATGTTTCTGTGTAGTGTGATGGCGTGATGACATGGTGGTATGGCATCACTTGAACATAATGCTGCTTGCTTGCGTGATGATGGTTGCATGGTGCCATGCAGGCTTGGTTGGTTGGTCGGCGGCATCTTGCCATGATTCATGATTCTCATGATGGCTCGCTCGCATCACATGCCCACATGATGGCATGTTGGGCATCGCATGATGGTATGGCATGGTGCCTTGGCATGATGGATTGGCATGATGACATGGCATGACACTCTGTGTACCATCAGGTGGTGACAGAGGACGTGAGTGCAGCAGTGCTCGTGCAAGCGCCTCTCATCGGAGACCCCGATCCCCGTGCCTCCTTCGCCCTTTCCATAGCTCCTCCCGATCCCGCCCAATTCTCAGTATGCCCTCGACCCTCTTCCTGCTCTTGTCTCTTCCTCGCCTCGCCTTCTTGCATTCCAATGCCGGCCAGTTCTGTTTCCGTGGTGTTCTAAGAAGCTGGCATGAAGTGCTTTTCTGCCTTTTCTTCCCTGGCCCGTTTGTCCTTGTCCACACGTCATGCCTTCTTCTTGAATCCTCTCCCACCAGAGCTCATGTGCTTGTCCAATCCTGAATCTCCTGCCATCTGCCCCTGTAACCTCCCCTTTGTCTCCATCATACCTCGGCCTACCAAAGTGATGACGAGCTCGAGGCTGCCTCGCCTCTTTCCACCGCAACAACCCTCCCTTCTTGGTTGTCCCTCCAACCAACCTTCTCCACCCCTCTCCACCGCTCCCCAACCACAGGTGTTCAGCCGAGCCGTCGTGTTCATTCTTGACAGCGAGTGCGGTCTAAGAGGCCGCCCCATGGAAGATGCACGCAGGGCGGTGGCAGCGGCGCTGAAGCGCTTAAAGCCCCACGACTCGTTCGCGGTGGTGGCGTTTGACTTTGAGCTGCTGCTGCTGGACGACGAGCTCGAGGCCGCCTCGCCTGAGGCGGTGCGGCGCGCGTGCAAGTTCGTGCTGCAGGCGCATGACTGGTCACAGCCTGCTAATGTGCTCACGCCGCTGCAGCTGGTGGGTGGAGAGAGGTGCAAGTGAAATTGTGTGAGGGTGGGGGAGGATGGATGATGAGGTCGAAGCTGCTTTGCCTGATAAGGTGCGCCACGCGTGCAAGTTCGTGCTGCAGGCACATGACTGGGCACAGCCCATCAACGTGCTCACACCACTGCAGCTGGTGGGTGGTTGGAAAGCGGTGCGAGTGGGTTGGTAGGGGTGAAATGGGGCGAGGATGAGCAATATCTACTTGTAACTCGCATGAATCGCCCTGCATAGCGTCCCCTCATAGCATCACCACCCATTCCAGCATGCATTCAGAATGATGAAGGGCTCCCTAGCTTCCTGGTAGGACAGCCATCATCCACCACCTCATTCCCCCCCCCACCCCATCTGCATGTGTGCCCCCTGCGCCCCACCAGGCGTTCAGGATGCTGAGGGGGCACACAGCAGCACTAGAGCAGATCGTGCTCATCACAGACTGCTCCCAGTGGCCTCCTACTCTCCACCCTGCGTCAATCTCACACCACACCACACCCCATTCCACCACATCCCATTCCACCACATTCCACTCTACCACACACCGCCAGGCGTTCAGGATGCTGAGGGGCCACACGGCAGCGCTGCAGCAGATCGTGCTCATCACGGACGGCCCGGTGCGGGCGGAGCGCCGCGTGTGCCACTGGGTGCAACGCGCCCTGGCTGACTGGGGGGGCACCGCCCCTCGCATCTCCACCTTTGGCATCGGTATGAAGATTGGGTTGGCTGTATGACTATAAAGCGACTTCTGAGTCGACTCAAAACTCATCTCGACTAAGGGAGTGCCGCCTCTCGCACCTTTACCTTTGCCATCAGTATGAGTAGTGAGTCGGCTGTATGACTGGGGGGACACCGCCCCTCGCATCTTCACCTTCGGCATCGGTACGAGTATTGAATTGTTCTACTCGCTGCTGAGCGTGCGTAGTGCGCTTTTGAGTTGACTCAAAAGCCAACTGGGGGGGCACTGCCCCTCGCATCTTCATCTCCGGTCATTGGCATGTATGTGCCATTGGCACCAGCAAGGGGCCTAGCCGAGTTGGATGAGACAAGCCCGGGAGCACCAAGCAACCTACCAATGTTGATCATGGCTCGTCTGGCTCGTCCTGACTAGCAAGCTGGGCGAAAAGGTGGGGGCTGCTTGAGACGGGCTGGACTGGTCCGCCGTCTGCTACTAGCCGGCGCGAATCTGGCGTTCCGGTTGCTATATTTGCAAGGATCCGGTGTTCCATGACGGAGCATGAGCATTTAGGGGATCTGGCGCCTTGCCTACGAGCAAAGCGCCGGCAAAGTCACCGGCTTGGCACGTAAAGGCTCCACTCGTCTGACACGTGGACGAGTGGAAATTGTCGGGAGCCTGCTCCATTCGGCCGCGTGCCCTTACCTGCACTGCATCCATTCCATTCCCCCATCTCACTGCCCCCTCATTCCCTCCATCTTACACTCATCCCACTTCCATCATCCTATTGCCCCCACCCAATTCCCCCCAATGCGATGCCCCCATCATCAGGCTCATCGGTGAATCCGTTCTTTCTCAAGTGGCTTGCTGCTGCCACCCGCGGCTCCTCACAGGTCACCCGCAATCCAGGTGCCACCGGGTTCTCACCTTCTCAACCTGCTTCGTTCATCTAGCTGCAGCAGGGCAGTCATTCTCCATTAGCAATTGCACAGTCACGCTGCCACCTTCTTCCACCCATCTTCCCGCTCCCCTTCTCATCCCTTCCTCCTATCACCCTCCGTCACTATGCACACTTGGCCCATATTCGTATCCACTCCCACACCCATCCCTAAACCCCATCCCCACTCACCAACTCCACCCTCCATCCTCCATTCCCAACCCCCATCCTCCCCCAAGCGGAGGTGCGGCGGCGGCTGGACGGAATGCTGCAGGCCATGCGCATCCTTCATACCCATTTCCACTCCCACTCCCCATCCCGACCCTCCATTTCCCATCCCCCACCCGCGGCCCCGTTCTCCCCCCAGCGGAGGTGCGGCGGCGGCTGGATGGAATGCTGCAGACAATGGCCCGCCCGCTCGTCACCAACATTGCCATCCGCGACCTGCCGCCCGCCTGTGAGGTCAGGCCAAAGGCGAGGTGGGGCGAGGAGCGAGGTGGGTGCTGAGATAGCAACGTGCTGGGAAGAATTCTTGAGACGTCTCACAATTCGTCTCACACGTGCGTGCCAGAGAGTGTGGTGTAGTTTGGGTGAACCCTCGTGGGCCGAGTTGGGTGTTACACGTAATATCCCAACCCTGTTCCTCAACTTTCCACCCCGCCAGTTGGAAGTCTCCCAACCGACCTCATTTGATCAGTACCTCCCAACCATCGGCACCTCATTTGGAAGTACCTCTATTATTCCGACAGCCATCGGCTGCTCTCGCGTGGTTCCCCCCGACTCACCCCCACGTGACCCCCCTGTGCCACACACCACACCCATCCACTCTCCACCCGCACCAGCTCTACCCTTACCCCATCCCGGACCTCTATGCATCCAGTCCAGTCGTGGTGAGCGGCCAAATGGGCGACCAAGTGACTTCGGGTCAACTCAAAAATGCCGCCCACGATACCCATCCCCTGCGCACCCGCACCAGCTCTACCCCTACCCCATCCCGGACCTCTATGCATCGGGGCCGGTCGTGGTGAGCGGCCGAATGGGCGACGAGGGGCCGGCAGCAAGCGGAGCGGAGGGTGGGGGGGGGCTGCCTTTGCACGTGGAGTTGAGGGGCGTGCTGGCCAGTGGAGCTCCGTGGAAGTTCAGAGCTGCCCTCTCTGACGCCGGCAACCTGCCCCTCTCCTCTGTATGCCCCCGCCCTCTCCTCTCTCCACCCCCGCCCACTCCGCGCTCTGCCATCGCGCGCTTCTCATGATGCTCTGTGTTCATCTAGATATTGAGCCTTCACTCCTGCAACTCTCATCCATCTCCCTCCACTGCCAACCTTTCTCCGCCTCCTCATCTCTCTGCACCCCTCCGCACCCTTTTGCACCCCGCTGCACCGCTGTCACCATGGGCACATGGCACCAGGTGGGGGCGGGGGAGCGGGTGGCCATCCTCACAGCCGATGCATGGCTTCATGGCGACCCACACCTGCACCAGGCGGTACGTGTCGCGCATGTGCGGTGCTGTACGATGCTGTGCGGTTCTGTGCGGTGCTGTTTTGTTCTGTGTGGCCATCCTCACAGCCGATGCATGGCTGCATGGCGACCCAGAGCTGCAGCAGGCGGTACTGTCGTGCCCATGCCCATGCCCATGCCCATGCCCATGCCCATGCCCATGCCCATGCCCATGCCCATGCCCATGCCCATGCCCATGCCCATGACCATGCCCATGCCCATGCCCATGCCCATGCCCATGCCCATGCCCATGCCCATGCCCATGTCTTCCTTGTTACCCTGCATGCCATGCCACGCTCACAGGCATGTGCGATGAGTGTGGGAGCGTCAGTGGTATCAGAGCACACACGCATGGTCCTGCTGGACACCACCCGCCCCCTGCTGGACCAGCTGCACACCGATCAGCTGCAGGTGCGGTGCACATGGCTGCTGAGGGGTGGGTGCATGTTGCAAGGGATTCATGGGTGCTGATTGGTGCATGCTGGTGAGTGGAGGCTAACTGGTGTGGGAAGGGGCGGGGGCGGTGGGTGATGAATGGGCAGGCATGACGTGTGTGGTTGGTGCAGGCGGCATGATCAGCGCACCCCTTTCAGCACACGTGCAATGTCAACCTGCAGTGCAGTTTGCTGGGTGTGTGTTGCAGGCCATGTAAAGCCAGCCAGCACGATGACGCATGTGTGTTGGTGAATCATAGAATGTGTAGCGAAAGGCCATCCCCACCCAGCATGTTCTATCACCCTACTTTCCTCAAACATATTTTCCTGGCCATGCTTCATTGACCCCCCCAATTTAATAACCCCCAGGGCCATGTGAGGCCTCTACACCATTACGTACGGTCGTCCACCCCCCCTGTCACCATGGTTTCGGGTCTCACGGCTGGGTTCGGAAGCACCCAGGCCCGGCCTGCTTCCACCAAACCAAACGGGGAGGTTCGGAGTCAGCAGCGGCAGCACAGGCGCATGGGTTCGTGTGTGTCATCAGGCGAGTGGGAGTACGATGTGGGCGAGGAGGACGGCCATGACCGATTGCTCGTCTCGCCCTCGCTGTCGCAAAGCATTGTAGGAAGCGTACTCGCCTGTTATCGTCCCAAATTTAGGTAATTACTCGTCTGTAAGGCCTATGCTGAGAGAAAGAAGCTGGTGGGTTCAGATTGTCCTAACAGTCCAGCAACAGCTAATCCAGTTTCTCTCTAAGCTTGAACCCTGCTGGAGCAGTGGCAGCAGCAAGCTTGGTAACAAAATAACGGAAGCCTTGTGCACTAACGATTCGAGCCTTACAGAGGATTCAAGAAACAAACCTGAAAATGTGGATGCCGTACTAAACTTTGATCAGCACAAAATTGATTGCTCAGGACACAGTAGCATATTTACAACTTGCACCACAAAGCCTACTGCAATGCCCAGTTGACCTCCAGTCATCCCTAGTTCAGAGGTTGAACCAGCAGCACGACTGACTGTCAACTGAGGATCGAGCCACGTTCAGGTGACCTGAAGGATTACACCTTGGTGTAAGTGGGAATCAGAACTTTATCCACGCCGTGGGCAATGAAGTACGGTCCAGCGTACAGCCTCACGATCTTGATCGTCGTCCACGCGGCAGGTGGGGCGTTGGGAGTCTTGGCGAAAGAAATCGTGTTACCATTCTGCACCGAAACCTTGTACATCGCCTGCTTCAGCTGCGTTCCCAGCGGCTGCGATTTCTTGAGCACCTTGAGCGCGGGAACGGTGTACTTCTTGCGGATGATGTGGTACGCGGTGATGTTGTAGATTTTAGGAATGTTGGCCTTGTTAGCGGGGACCTTCTTAGCGAGGGCCTGGGCCTCCGTGTCGCTGGGGAGTAGGAGGGTCGCGTCGCTGAGAGCTGTGAAATCGTACTTGGAGTTCACTGGTGATGGAAAGAGAGGAAGTGGGGGAACAGAGGGAGAGGGAGAGAGAAGACGAAAAAAAACGGTCAGCATATGAGCGCGACGAGCGAATAGAGGAGCGTGTTAAACACTAGTAAGAGGGTATCCTGCCGCATTTTTAACGACTACAAATGAGGGTCTTTCTGCTGGCGTTTTGAACGAGAAGGAAGCGAGTTTACTAGCCGTGGTAATAAGAAAATAATGTAATATCAAAGACCTTACGTGCCAGGCCGATGTACTTGTTGATGTCCTTGGCGTATTTCGCGTATTTGGGAAACTTCTGGGTGATGGTGTTCGCCATGTTCTGCAGCTCGGCTTTGATTTGCGCCTTGGTGGGCTTCGCCTGTGCGTGAGCAGTGGCGAAGCAAAGCACGATGCAGAGCAGGCCGAAGAGGGAAATGAACCGTGAACTGGCCATATTTCGTGGATATGTGCACGCCTGTCGCTAAGTGGTGTGGTCACGCAGCCGCGGAAAACGAGTCTGGAAGCGTCGGTTTGGACTGTCAAGACGAGAATGAAGGATTGGATGATTGTGAGGGGAGTGAAGTTGAGGGAGCACGAATGAATTTGATGAAGGATTGGAGGCACGAATTGTCATTGATATTTGAGCTGGAGGCTGGAAGCGCGTCAGCATTGGCCGACATGCGGTGCGGGAAGCGGTGAAGTGGTGTCGCGAAACAGCATTCATTCATGACGAAATTGTCCGTAACCCGCAATTCGGTCGCAACTCCCGACAGGAAACTGTCGCGAAGCCACGACACCTCGCTGTGCTGGGTTTGAGGTGGTGGCGGCAATTGGTCGGTTGAAGTTGCGGTCCGCGAGGGGCTAGGGCTCAGATTCAGTTATGAGTTGTAAAAGAGAGTGCGCAGGTAAACGAATAACGAGACTGTGACTGAATCAACTGAGAATACAATGAATGCACAGACTAATGTAGGGCTAGCCTAGCTAGGAGGAAACCTCGGAAGACGAGGTTGGGTGCAAGTTTGGCGATGGAAATGCCGAAGGCGAGGCGAGGAGCCTCGGCAGCGTTGAAATCGGCCGAACGTGCGAACTCCGAAAATCGGGTTGTACGCGAAGCAGTCAACCCCGATAAGGAATTCAGGAAATTCCTTACACTACCCCCCCCCCCTCCCCCCCCCCCCTTAAGAAAGGCGGTCAATATCCGAAACACGCTTGCGCGCCAAGCAATCACCAACAAGTGGCGAGGCGTCGAGCGAGGCGGATGGCACCCACGTGTCGTCTTCACCGGTGCAGTCAGTCAAGCGGATTAAGAAATCCACGTGTCGGCCAGCTGCGTCAAGGCGGACCCGATGAGCCAGGATTTTCGAAGGGGCAAGGGTCGGCTCAGGAACAGGTCGTTCTAGCGGGGCAGCTTGCTGACGGGCGATGTCGGTCGTGGCTGGCACGAACTTGCGAAGAAGGCTGACGTGGAAGGCGTCATGAATTCGCCAGTCGTCGGGTAGCAACAGCTTCGCGGTGACAGGTGTCACCATCTTAATAATCTTGAACGGCCCACAAAATCGTGGCCGTAGTTTCTGAGAAAAAGAGAACGAGAATGAATGAACTATGAGTGAAGTGGGTACAAGTACTAACCCTAATTGGGTTCTACCCCCTATGGGATACCCCACTACAGCCTACACAAAAGCATAAGCTATAATGTTCTGACACACCCCCATAGGCAAAGTGGGGGAGAACAGGGGGTCACAAGACCAGTCAAGCAAAGCAAAACAAAGCAAAGCTCAGGGTGGATCACAAAGTCACCACACATTCCGAGCACAAGTACAAGGCCACAAGGTCAGTTCACATGCAGAAGTACATAGATATATAAGGCTAGACAAGCAAGAGCAGGTATATATATATGTAACAGTACAAGCAAGGTCAAGAGGTGAGCAAGTGAGGCAAGACAGGTACAAGACCCAGCTGGGTGCAGAAGCGCTGATGATCACAAGGCGCAAGTGCCTTGGTGAAGACATCAGCAGTGTTGGCCTCAGAGGCCACGTACGCAAGCCGCAACTGACCACGCTGCTGTAGCTCACGAGCAAGGAAGTAGCGGAGAGCAATGTGCTTTGTTCTGTGCTCAAGTCTCTGGTCTCGACACAAGGCCAGCATAGCCTTGTTGTCTACGTACAACACTGGAGGAGAACGAGGCGGCTCTCCGAGGTCAGTCAGCAGGTAGGTGAGCCACCGAAGCTCCTGTGCAGCCATGGCCCCAGCGTAGATCTCAGCCTCACAACTGGAGCCGAGAACAGAAGACGAGCGACTAGCCCGCCACGAGACAGAGCCGGAACCAAGGCTAAAGGTGTAACCCTGTGACGACCGCTGCGTAGCCTGGTCGTCAGCCCAAGAAGCGTCTGCATGCCCAGTGAGGACCACTGGATTGCGCCCTCCAAGCACTAGCCCCATGCCCGACGTACTGCACAAGTAGCGCAACAACCTCTTCGCTACAGCCATGTGCTCTGAACGGTGTCTACCAGGAGCAACATAGCGTGCGAGAATGCTAAGAGGGTATGAAAGGTCAGGTCGTGTGCAGGTCATCCGGTACATGAGGCAGCCAACAAGCTCTGGGTACGGGCCACTCGACTCTACGGACTCATCCGAAGGCAGAGCTGAGAGCGAGTGGCGAGTAGGCAGAGGAGTGGCCTGAGGCGAGGAGTACGTGAAGCCGAAGCGCTGAAGGACCTGCTGCACCATGTGTGACTGAGTCAGGGTAATGGTGCGGCGTGCTTTGTCCCGGGTGATCTGCAAGCCAAGGTAGCTGCGCAGTTCACCCATGTCTGTGCAAGTGTGTCTGTTCTGCAGCTCGGACCTCACGTAGGCGAGTCCAGCTGTGTCAGCAGTGGCAAAGACACGAGGATGTAGAACGGCGGCAGAGAGGTGTCGGTGCGCAGAAACAGCGACGGGTCGGTAGTAGAAGGAGCAAACCCAAGAGCCGCAAGTGTAGTCCTCAGTGTGTCGTGCCACTCACGTGGCGCCTCTCGGAGACCGTAAACTGGACGTCGGAGGCTCCACTGATTACCAGGAGGGAACGACCCAGTGAAGCCAGGTGAGCGGCGCAGCCAGATCTCCTCGTGCAGACTGCCCTGCAAGAAAGCTGTGCTAAAGTCGAGAGAGTGCAGCTCGTAGTCACGGTGAGCAGCAACGTGCAGCAGTACCTGAAGAGTGGTCATCTTCGGGGTGGGAGAGAAGGTCTGAAAGTAGTCAACTCCCTGCCGCTGACTGAAGCCACGAGCCACGTAACGTGCCTTGAAGACAGGCGGAGAACCCGGCGGCCGCTTCACTCTGAAGATCCACATGCCACTGACGATGTTCGCCCCAGGCAAGGGAACCTCGTCAACGTAGGTGCCTGTGGACTTCCAAGAAGCCGTCTCTGTGTCCATAGCTGCCTGCCACTGAGAGGAGTAGGGACCCTCTATCGCCTCCGCGTAGGAGCGCGGAGTCGGGATGTCAAGTGCATCCGGGTCTCCCTCAGGGGTAAGCAGTACGGACACGAGATGAGGTGAAGCAGCTGCCAGACACTGGAACTCCTCCTGTCTGTCCTCAAGGACGTCCGTGCCAAGGGCACACTCACCCCCGACGGACGAAGGACAGACAGACTCAGACTCAGCAACAAGACTAGCAGCGTAGTCTAGGCGACAGCGAGCAGCAGAGTCGACGAGCTCAGTAACGAGGGCAGACGCAGCAGTAGACTCGGAAGAAGGGTCAGTGACGACAGTAGCAAGGAGACGCGTGACAGTAGGACTGGCAGCACGAAGAGAGTCCGACTCCGGGTCGGCAAGAGCAGGAAGAGAGGACACAGGAGGAGAAGGCAAAGGGGCACGCAGAGGAGCAGTGGACAGACGCAGAGCCATCCGGTGCGTGCCAGGGACAGGAGGAGGACGCTCACGCGAACCACGACCACTAGCGCGAGCAGCACGGACAGGGGACGTAGGGCGAGACGCAGGCTCACGACGCTCAGCAAGACCTCCATTAGGACCAGTGTAGGGAGAAGGAGCAGGCAAGGGGGAGGTAGGCTGCAACTGTAACTGTGACGGGACAGGCTGTGCACACTCTAAGGGAGGAGGAGGACCGGTAGAAGGTGGAAGACCAAGAACCTGCTGCAGGAGTGGAACGAAGTACGGTCGAGGCCGCGCGGCGACGCCAGACACAGCAGGGACAGCACCAGTACCCCCAGCAGGTGCACCCGCTCCAGCAGCACCT